CATGTTAATGTTCATAAGTTAGTACTTTTCTTGAATATTGGTGCATTTGTGCTGTTACTGTTTGTTTAGAACAGAAGGTGAACTATCCAGAATTGTATGGCTCTGTAAAGGAATAAAGTGTGGAATTAGTATTTTATATACTTCTTTGTTAATCTATAAAAATATTTAATGATATTTATGTGTTAGATTTTCCTCCTCAAAGTATACTAAAATATTTTTCACCAACTCCCTAATAACACTAAAAGAAATACAAATAATGGAAATAGATATTCATACTACTGCCCACCCTCTAAAAAATAATAATTTTTCATTTTTTCACTGTATGTACACATGAATTATGCATACACATATACACAGATTTAATTTTTTATCCTGCTTTTTAATCCCAAGTTTGTTACTGTGTATTATTTATAAGAATCACTTTATATGTTTGCAGAATATTCGAAAGTGTACTATAACTTCTCAACTTTTCTACTCTTGAGAATTTTCATGTATTCACTAATTCATTATTTTCTTTCTTTTTCTACTTTCTACTATAGTTAGTCTTCTAGCCCAGAATTTTAAAATATGAATAAGATGAGGTTTACAATCCTCAGGATTTTTTCTGCCTCACTTTTTCCTGTGGAACGGGACACTTTGTAGTTGTTGTTTGGCAGGAGCTTTCTCGATAGGGTTGTCCCCCAAAGGTTTGTGTGCCGGAAGCTTGGACCCAGCATGGCAGTGTTGAGGTGGCAGCCTCTTCAGGAGGCGCTCAGATTGAAGAGCTCGCTGCTGGAGGATGGGTCAGTGCTGTCTCACAAGAGTGGGTGGTCACTGAGCGAGGCCACCGCAGGCCACAGCCTCCCCTGCACACAGTCATCTCCCTTTCTGCTTGTCCGCCACGTCACGACTCAGTCATCATGCTGTTTGGGCCCCCAGCCACCAGAATGAGCCAAATCGGTCTCTTCCCTTAGAAAGTCCTCAGCCTTATTTTCTCCACCTTTTCAATGGCTTCACTCACAACTGTGGATGAAAGATTTGTGTTAACATGTTTATTTTAAAGACTGCAAGCTACTGTTCATAAAGACCATTGAAAGATGAAGAAAAGTATATTAAAGTTTGGACCAACTATGCAATCTTATGTAATTTTATATAATATTTTAAAAGGTAATGATTCTTCAATCATGTGCAAGACAGATTATAAAGTTTATTTATGCTTATTTACTATTCTGGTGTGCACATATTAAAGAGTGTTCTGAAACACAGATGATTTATAGCAATGAGGCTGCCAGATAAATTACAACATTATATTTTGTTCTAATGTTCAAATTTCATAGTGCTTAGACTATTTTTCCAGACATTCTCTAAGACTACAAAATCTTAGAAATATATGCAAAAGTATAGATCTACTTCTAGAATATTAAGCTCTGTTTAACAAAGTTTCATCCACTTAACTTTTATATATAAAACATGAGTTTGTTTCTAAATTATAGTCAAATATTCAGCCTTCTAATGAGACAGGATATTGATATTTTTGTTTTTCTCAGTGTGTCATCTTTTGCCAACAAATAACATAATCACAACCATCGCAACAACTCCATGGTGTAAATGCCCCTAACACTCACAAGGCCCTGGGTTCAATCTCCATCACCACCACCACCAAAAATTTTTTAAAAAGATTTTGGCTGAGGATTTAGCTCAGTGGTTCCACCGCCTGCCTGGCAAGCACAAGGTCCCAACGTTCGATCCCCCGTACCAAAAAAAAAAGATTATTAATGGGTAACATAAAATTAATCAGGTCAGTTAATCCTATGTCTAATATAATCTTATTTAACTCAACACACCTTCCAAAATATCTAGCAGAATTAAAGGGAAAGATGGTAGAAAAAAGATTTAACTGAATACCAACTAAAGAAATGTAGAATGAAGGAAAGAACTTGAAAATTAAGATTTTGCAACTCCTAATTATTGTGATAGTTGATTTAGTCAAGGATGACCAAGGAATACTAAGATAATTGACCAAATGGTTGTTGGGAAACAGCATTTATCCAGTCTCAAAGAATCACACCATGGATAATTTATTAAATAAAAAGGGAATAACCTTCTAATAAGAGACTTGGATCAAGGGACTCAGTGGCACTGCTGATAGTGTGACAGCCTGACTTGAGGCCTCACAGTGGGAGGCAGCAACATTTTTTGCAAAAAGATTTTATCTTGAACCTAATCATAATAAGAGACAATCAGAAAAATCCAGCCTGTGAGACGTTCTACATAACAACTTGCCTTTGCTCTGCAAAAAAGTCAATTATCATAAAAGACAAAATTTAAAGAAATAAAGCTAAAAAGATGTGATGACCAAACGCAATGGATAAACTATGACTGGGTCCTTGATACAAATATAAAATTGAATATTGACTTTGTATTTTTGATTTGCATTTCCGTACTAGCTAAAGATGTTGGACATTTTTTCATATATTTATTGGCTATTTGAACTTCTTTTGTGATGTGTCTGCTCAGTTCATTTGGCCATTTATCGATTTGGCTCTTTGGGGTTTTTGGGGGGTTTTTTTGTTGTTCTTTATATATTCTAGACATTAATTCTCTCCTGTAAGAACAGCTAGCAAAGATTTTCTTCCATTCTGTAGGTTGTCTCTTCACTCAGTTGATTCTTTTTTGTGCAGAAGTTTCTTAATTTGATGTAGTCAAATTAGTTTTTATATTATTTTCTGTGTTATTTGAGTCCTATTCAGAAAGTCTTTGCTTGTGTGGGTCTTTGACCTGTTTTGATCTGATTCAGTAGATGGTGAGAGAGAAAGGTCTAGCTGAACTTTTCTCCAAATGGAGATCCACTTTTCCTAACATCATGTGTTAAAGAGGCCGTCTTCCCTCGAGCATGTGTTTTTGGGCCTCTGTCAAAAATCAAATGGCTGCAGTTATGTGGGGCTGTTCTGTGTCTTCCCCTCTTGTTCCGCTGGTCCAAAGGTCTATTTCTGTGCCAGTACCATGCTCTTCTTTAACTTTCTGAGGAGTGGTCAGGCTGTTAACCAGAGTGGCTGGTCCACTTTGCATTTCTGCCAGCAGTAGATGAGGGTGCCCAATTTGTCCATATCCTCACCAACGATTTTTAAGTTATTTCTGTCCTAATAAATGTGTTGTGGCATCTCATTGTGGATTTATCTAATGCCTAATGATGTCAATCAATTCAATTTTGAGTCCCTGTTTTTAAAATGAACAATTATAGTGATTAAATGCAGCATTCCATTTCAGTATTTTAATTTTTAGTAGTAGTAGAATATAGGCTGATAACATTATATTTAGCAAATACCCTTTATTTGCAGCTACTCTTAAAAATTTGGGGGATCAAAAGTTGGAGGGAGGGAGGAAGGGGAGAGAGAGGGGATGAAAGAGAATTAAGATGTGCTATGTACCTGTACCAACTCCCCATAGTGAATGTAATCATTATGTACTGCAAACATGTACTAATAAAAAATAAAAACTGGAAAGAAATTCTGATTTGGCTACATAAAAGTAAAATCTAAATAAAAACTTTAGAAATAACTTCATAGAACAAATTTCCCATAGGATAATAAAGCATACTTTCTGGTAGTATAGAGGAAAGAGACAAATTTTGCATCTCTTACTGGTATTTTTTGTTCATTTGGTTTCCACTGGGGAAAATCTAAACTCACTCAATTTTTACATCATGAATAAAAAGCATCCACATCTGGAACCCAGACCACATGCAACAGCTCCACAGGGTTTGATCATTCTTTGTTTTGAAACAAGCAAGCAGAAAACATAATGTGTTCCTAACAAAAGAACCCACAGTCACAATAAAATTAAAAGAACGAACAGAGTGATTTTATTTTTTGTTGGTGTACAGAACTATTAAACAAAATTAGAAATCACAGTTTAAACAGTGACTTAAATCAAGCCCTTTTTCCATTAGTTTGGACTTTTGGGGTTTTGTTTTTGCTTTTTCTTTAAATGAAAGGCTCCAATGCTGGGGATTTAGCTCAGTGGTTCCGCTGCCTGCCCGCAAGCAGAAGGACCCAAGTTTGATCCCCGGTACCAAAAAAAAAAGTAGATTTGTAAATGAAAGGCTCCAATCTCTACATCTGGGAAAAATACAGGATCTAATATTACATAATATATCTTCAATTATAGCCTAAATGTTACATTTCAAACTAATAAAAAGTAAACCAGGCCAGAAAATAAAATATAAAAAGGACAAGTCCATTGTCATTTCCAACATTTTTCCTGCCAGCTGGCTCTGGAATCATGGGATGAAAAGAAAGAAAGAAAAGAATAATGAAACCCCTGTTCTTATCCACCGGGTTTAGAAAGCCTATCCTGTGGAATTATAAAAGCAATGTGACCCCTGAGTGTGAAACAAGAGGACAGCATCTATAAACCACATTTATCAATTCCTTATCTGAGGGTTGGGGCAGCCAGTTCAGGGGGAAGTATGGAGAAACAGGACAGCACAACCACACATGAACAATGAAAGGTGCAAGGCTTTAAACTTGAAAAGAAAGTGGGCTATTAATGAATGAAAATCTGTCTTTATATAAAGATCCATTTCCCTTCTCTTCAAGGGATTCAGAATTATAAAAATAAACTCTGGATTTTGAGATTTTTTTAGGTTAGAAATAAATAAGAACTTATTAACAAATAGATTCATTAGCCCCATATAGTGTCTTCAAAATAAAGTTGTGAGTTAGCATTGTTTGTTTTGATTCAGATAGCATTTATCTGGAAACAGGGAGCAACATAATAACTTTCTAAGAAGTTTTCTGGCTCTGGAATTCTGTAATAATTTTTTTGTACAACAATAGAGACAACCTGAAACTTGTACATTTTCTATCCAAAGTGTTTTATACTTAAATGTAAAGAAATATAAGAAAAAAGCTGTTTTCTTAGTTTGCACAAATAATTTATGCTGTTAGTTTGCACAAATGGTTATTAAAATATACCTTCCATACTAAACTATAATTACAAGATGATTTCTGTGTTTTTAGGGACTGATAGCACTTTCCAGACATAAGAAACTGAAGGAACTTTCTTTATCAGACTGTTGTAAAATCACCAATGTTGGAATTGTGGTAAGATAAATAAGGTCTTTTGTTAATGAATTAAGATTGAATATTAAGCACAAATTGAATAGTTTTGTAGGTCACAGTAAAAAAAAAAAAAAAGAAATGGAAGTGTGAGATCATGGTTAAGCCAGAATCTCAGATCTCCATGGCCTAACGTGACAAAAAGGATTTGTTTTCCTGTTTTCCCCATCTACTCCCTTTCTTCATTTCAGACTCAGGGTAAATAGGGACATTTTACTTGGAAAGTGATGAACTGCTATGTGGTGATGGTTGGTCTTTTCATATAAGGAAAATGTTCTTAAAATAAAAATGTCATGCAATCTAACCATAAAAATTGAGAAAGTTTGAAAAATTAAACCAGACACCTAACAGTTTGGAGCTTAAGTTATGCAAACATACTTGGTAACACACTTTATTGGAACAGACAGTATGAAGTAAATAACTGGGTAGAAGCAATGATTATATGCTCAAGTGATACTTCAGAAATTCTTGAGTGGGCTGGGGCTGTAGCTCAGTGGTAGAGCCTAGCATGGGTGAGTCCCTGGGTTCCACCCCAGTACCTTTTCTAGGACCCAGGTGATGTGTGTGAGTCATAAAGGAGACATGGGAGTGTGCCATGGTGTAATTTTTTATAGCAAATTAAGCATCTCAAAGTCATATGGTGGGCACATATTGAATGAGGAAGGAACCAATGAGTATGGGGAAACTTAAGCATATTGAAAGATCCAGACAGAAGTGTTTAGAGAGTTGAAAAACCTGAAGCTAAACTAAGAAGAAAGAGAGGAGAAGAGGGAGGAACTTTCTTAAAGAGATAAAAGGATTAGTCCCACAAGTGGAAAGAAAGATGATGCAGGTGCTAGCTGAGAAGTCCACAGAGCATGGCAAATTTGAAGCTGTCTTCCATGATTTTGAAATGGACTTTACAAGAAATTTTAATGTGACTCATAGAAAAATATTCAAATACCATGTAAACTGGTGGGGTTTTGAGGGTTTCAGGTTAGATCACGTTTAATTTTTACCATAGAATTCTAGGCTTCTAGAGCTGAGGGAAACCTGAAAATACCTAAATCATAACTTTACATGTAAGAAAACTAAAGCCCAAGAGGTCTTAAGTGACTGATGTCAAGTCATTTTCATTCTCAGAAAATAAGTTTAAGTACAGTTTAGTGGAAATGAAAGGCAGAAATGAAAACTTGCTATTCCAAGTGATCTGTTGACAAATGATCTGTTAATGGAAAGAAATGTTTTCAAATTGTTTTTGCTGAATCTCATTGTGTCTGTACAATGTAGTAATACTTAAGGGGAAAGGGTGACACTATTAAGAAATCATCTTTAAAAGGCATCAATATCAAGCAATGTCAATTTCTCCCAGTTTCAAGCCAGGGTATATTAAGGTTCTAACCAATCCCTTAGGAATCTCCCTAGTAGTAAGTTCAATTGTATAAAGAGCTTAAAAAAAAAAAAAGAACAAACACTCTCTTTCCAAACAAAGTCCTAGAGGGGAATAGAAATTTCTGTATTGGACATGATTGGCACAAGAGATTTATATGCATATAACTTACTAGGAGAAATAGCCAAAAGATTCCTCTAAGCTTCAACTGTTATTTACCTCTTCCAGTTAATTTAAGAATTAAACATGCTCTACACAAAACCTTATCTATGAATATGGTTTAGTCAAGCTTTCAAATGGTCTTTGACAGGTGATAGACAAAAAATTATTAAAATAAAACAGCTAAGCATCATTATCAATGGGTTCGACACTGAGGCACTCAGTGTTATGTGGTGTTTTGCTTTGTTCCTGGTGATCCTGGGCTCCAAATCAGTCCACACTGATCCAGGAAATTAGACCCTAGCAAACAACCAGAAAACCAGACTGTGGAGAACTAAGGTGTTGCCTTCTTCTCAACTCCTTTTCTTTTCTTTTTTCCCTTCCTTTCCTTTTTTCTTTTCTTTCCTTTCATTTTCTTTTTTGGAGTTCTGGAGATTGAACCCAGGGCCTTGCACATACTAGGCAAATACTCTACCATTGAGCAACATGCCCAGCCTGCTTCTTCTT